AGCACATTTAGTGCACCCTAGTTAAATATGGGGATTCATTTCAGCTGTCATTTTGTCTTTTTGTCCTCTGGTGGAAGTTTTCACTTGTCTGGAGGAAATTTAAATTCAAAACAAGTATGAACTGTTGTTTGGCCCTGGAAAAGCTTAGTCTCTATTTCACCCTTTGTCCTTTACTTGTCAATTAAAGTAATAAATCCCCTGCACCCCCCCCACCCTTGAATTATTCCATCTGCTGGACTTGCCTCTTCCAAGGCCAGATACAATAACACACACGCATACACACACTGCAAAGTCTGTTTCTGCCCAAACATTTGCCATCATTTTTCTTAATGGCTTAGGCGTCATGTGTTTAGGGTGCGGCCGTACATTACTGGATGGAGAGGAGAGAATAGGTTTCTCTTTATAAATAAAAGGAGTTTTGAATCATTTTCAAGTTTTTTTTCAGTGTGTGTGTGTATTTTTAGCATCTGTGTGTGTTGGTGGTTTAGAAACCTGCACATTGCTCCACGCATAAACCGAGAGTCTGATATCTTCAATGAAGGCCAGTGTGCATAATATCTCATTAAATGCTCTGTCACAAGTCATTCATCAAACCCCGGCAAGCAGACATAATACAAGTTTGAAACACTTCACTTTCTCTCCTGTTGGCAGTAGTAACAATAAAATATGCATAGAGTATGGATTGACTCCAGTATCTGCTCATTACTATTTCTGTTCCAGTTGTAAATGGTCTTGCTGGGTGTGGACAAAGACAAAAAAAAAAAAGCTTGAGGGAAACGTACAAAAACAACTAACAACACAAATCTGTGGAGACGTCTCTGTCATCTGCCTTCCCCACGGGAGAACTGCCCCCACGGGAGTACTGTCCCCACGGCTTGATGCTCCATTGATCAAAAACACAATAAAATTATCATGAGATCGATGGAGGGTGTGAGAGATTGGCTCCCGTGCCCTTCCTTCTCTGGCACATTAACACTGATTGGCCTTCTAAAGTCAATAAGACAGGAAGCTGACAATATCAGTGTACCGCTCATTCAATCACTTGTGGAGCTGAAAAATACTATCACAGAATTTTCCAGCATTTCTTTAACTCATACTAACAGGTTTATACTTTTCAAACAACTTGGCTTAAACTAACCAGACAACATTTGTTGTCTGGTTAGTTTAAGCTTTCACTATACTTTCACTATAGTTTCATGTGAAACTCAAAAAGAAGTGAAAAAGCAAACTAAATTATATATATATGTTGTTTAGCTTTAAAAAGATTTAATCAGTTGATTTGATTCTGACCTATGAGGAACTCCAAAACAATGTTGACCAAAACCTGTAATTAACCATAAAAACCTGTTATATACTCTGTGCAGACAAATAAATGTCAACAATAAACCCTCTTTAAAACTTATTATGTTTTGCTAAAACTTGTGACAACTGGGACCAGACTTTAGTCAGACTGACAAAGTGGTTGACAGTGAAGGAATAAATAAAGGACGCAGAATGTCAAATGGGGGCAGATGCAGTGCTGACAAAAATCAGCAAAGCCATTGCGACCCACCAGTGGATTGATTTTTGTCACCCTTTGTCAGCTCTCATTCTCTTTACCATAAGTGTGCAATCCCTGTCTCCCAAAAGAATATTCACATTCCCTCATCTGGAGCTAAAACATTGTGCAGGATATATATATATATTTTTTTTTTATTACACAATTATTAGAATTCCTTTTGTTGCTTGTAAAAGTGTTGAGCCAGTGTGCACTGTATATCTGAACCTATATAAGGTAGTAAAGGTACCACCACCTCATTTTGAGCCAGGAAAACCCCCGTTTGTGATTCCCACTTTTTCTACACCTTAAATCAAATCCAATATTTTTTTGCATTCCAAATTGTTTCTCAGGTAAATGAGTTTCAAAGCAGATGAATGACAGCGATTAGTCTGTCAGGAGGGGCAGAAAGTGAGAAATCCATTACAGTAGATTGTAGGGGACTTTCTTTAGTAGAATATCAATGAAGGACTCCTGCTGTCCTCTCCATACCTGGAGGGGATGAAGGTAATGAAGAGAAGTGAAACCTGATGAGACAGCCAGGTTACAGCTCCCCTTCTCCAGCCAAAACTCAAAACAGCTTAAAGCCACATGGACTGTCAGCTCTTCCTGATGGTCTTTCTGTCTGGCTGCCACAGGCCTTCTAAGGCAAACACCTGTGAAATGTGAAGCCAGGACTGTGAACCTTCACTCCCTCTTCCAGAGAAAGTGGGAGCTGGCATTGTAAAAATGGCACATCAGCTGTCTGCTGCCATGAGAGAATGAATGTCCCAAACAGTTCGTCCACCAGACTAAACTGAGTGAGATGCTGGAGGGTTCATCACAGAGGGGCAGGGTTTGCGAACAGATGCTGTAAACACCTGATACCATACTATGTCCCCTTTCAGTAGAAGGCAGGATTTATTTCATTTTTTTTTCTCTGTAATGATACCGGCATGGTTACATTTTAGAGATGACAGTGTTTAAATGGAAATTTCATCACAGTTGCAGAGCCTCAATATGCCTTGGCCTTGCTCTCCAGCACTACTTTGGCTATACTCTGTGTAGAAGTATAGCCAAAGTAGGAGTCAGCCAAAAACCTGCAAAACATACCCTCAGCCCCTCGGCCCTGTTCATGTTTTTGGTTTTCCATTTTCCTCTGTTTGTAGTTAATGTGGAAAAACAGTCAATGAGACAAAGGTGTAATTCAATGTAACCACTCCATCACTGTCTTCCTGCCTTCCAAAGCGGTCCGTCTGTCGTATTTTTTCTAACATGCTAGGCGCACAGCATCTTTATTCTAAAGTAACTTCTTACTGTAAGTGTTAATATAATTCAATCTTGTGTTTAAAATGCTACAAAACCCTCAATGTAAAGTGTTAAGTGTGTATTACATTGGACCAAGTGCTGTTAAACTGTTGAGTAGCACCAAGATCGAAAAGCGGCACGTGACATGCCACTTTGGGAGCATACCAGTTTGACAGCGACATCTCTGTTGATTTAAACATTCAGGCACGTAGCTTTTCTCAACACCCCAATCAGTGATTTCACAGCAGAAGTGCTGCCTGCGAAAAACAATAGAAACATCCTGCTGTGGCCCAAGTGAGTGAGATAAAAATGTCAACATAAAGCGACCACACATTATCGAATACTGCTTTAATGAAGATAACGAGAAATCCCATTGTTTCCCTTAAGATAAAGATAAGATAAGATATACTTTATTCATCCCAGCAGGGAAATTTAGGTGTTCAAAGCAGCCAGCATACATACAAACACACAACACAACACATATATACATACATATCCACCCATACAAAAGTACATACAGTGTGATATATAATATATGCAACTCAGGCTAAAGTTTAAAAAGTAATTATTAATTTCTCTTGAGGAAGCCAAAGTATTCATTCTTTAAATCTGCAGTGGATTTCTGTGCAAGTTAGTAAGATTAATAGTGTGTTTTGTACAGCTAATAATACTTGCTCTCCTGAATTGTACGTATTTGACAATACGGTGTGAGTCTAGCGGGATGTTAAAAAAAGTAAAAGACTTGAAAAAGCAGCTTATTGCAGCTTGTATAGATCACAAACAAGCCCTCAAAATAACCCTTTTGTACTTCAAGAGCACAATACAATACAACAGATGAGGTACAATAGGAGACCCTCACACTTACACACACTCACAAAGCCCCCCAGTGCCTGTTGACATTCACAGTCTCTCTAAATCCTCATTACTCTGTGTTACTTACAAGGATAAACTTAGGCAATATGCTTTATCAGCAGTATGTGTCAATTGATCGGAGAGTACAGTGTTGCCTCGGAAGTGTTGGTTTTCAGCTTTACAGTATCATTTAAATACTGATTTTCAGATGTGTCATTCATTCTTAATGGCTGCTTCACTGGTTTTATCATCCGTATACGTATCAATCTAAAGTAAAGATGACGTGAAAATACATCTCGAGACTGTTTGATAGGAGTGTTGTTTCCTGGTTCTCTTGAAAATAAATGATGCATCTTTCATTTCCTGGAAATAACTTTTTAATTCAATGAATTGATTGGATAAGAATTTCAACAAATTCTTACAAGAAGATGTATATTATCCGTAGACCCATGTTTTCACGAGTAATGGACCTCTTCAATTATTAGAGCTAAAACTATGATCTATTTGTGTTAGATGTGAGTGAAAACATGGATAGATCAAAGACCTGTGTGAGGACTGCTTATTGTCTGTGTGGGGGCGCAGGAAGTCTCCATCAAGACTAATGGGTCTCTGCCTCTAAATACAGGACCACACACACACCACACACACACACACACACACACACACACACACACACACACACACAGAGAGAGAGGCCAACTTCCTCATATCTAAAGACAAAGACCTTAACAGGCTTTATGCTCTGGTTAACTAAGAGCAAGTAAGGATCCAGTGCATCCTAGCATAAACCTTACCACTGAGGATGCACGTGCGGGCTACTTTATAATAATTGCTTGTTCTCTTAAGTGAAACCGGATTATGTCAGTACAATAATTGGTCTACAACAGGTGGGCGTGTTAACCCCTTAACCTCCCAGTCAACCTTTCAAGTGGATTTTTCTGTGTTTCTCGATGAATAGTCCATGATGTGCTTGGTCGTCGGTTTGAATACAATTGGGAGTCATCTAGACTTTTGTGTTTGTTAGCTAACCAGTGCAGTAAGTGATTTCAAAGTCCAACTGGATCTAACAAGGACTTAAAAAGCACAGCCTGGAGCAGTCCGTTTTTTTGTTTTTCGTTTTTTCTTTTTTATCAGGAGTGCCATCGAACAGAGTCGTTTTTCTAGGTTAATACAACTTGTGAGTGTTGCTTTTTTGCGCTGTTGTCATTTGTTTCTTCCATTTTGTAAAGGGCTGGCTCTTTGCGCGCGCACTCTGCGCTTTGTAATTGGTGCGCACACTCTCGTGGAGGTTTGGTTCATCGCTGCCGCGCGGCACGGCAGCAAACTTGCGCTGTGGAAACTTTGACAAACATCATCCAATGTCTGTCACATAGCTCAAGATATACAAAGTAAATGCTGACCGCGAGCTTTACTCATGTCTGACGAAGGTGAGGAAAGCGACTGCGGCGAGAGAGGGCATCTCCCCGACTCTCCCTCCCCGCCACTGTCTCTCTGTCCTCCCCGAGGATCTCCGTCCTCCCCCCGGCCCTTGGACGTCTTTTCCTCAGCCTCTCCACTGCTGGGGGACACAGACCCGCCTTACCTCGCTTCCCCGGACTGTCTTCACCAGTCTCAAGAGAGCCGGGACTCCCCACGACTTACAACACCAAAGTTTCACCACAGCACCGAGGACACCGGCTCTCCGTTTCTGTCCCGGCAGGATGTGCGGGTAGACGCGGTGTGCGACCGCTACGATGACCCGTTTCCCAAATGGAGAGGACGAGGCGCGGCGAACGCAGAGCGCTTTCAGCACCGCGGACAGAGACTCCAGCGGGCTCCGGAGCTCCCAGACCAGGGGAACCACAACTCCACTGAACACATCGACACAGAGTTCAACTCTGAAACCAGGCAAACGTGAGTCACCCTCTTTATTCACCTGCAGCTTTATTCATCCACAGGCATAATTCATGAGTAAAGTAACCAGCTTCTTGGCCTGGTGTATAATTTATCTGCTTAGCAAAACTCTCTAATGAATAAAACGACAATGTTGAAATGGCACAGCTTGAAATATTTTAATCAACAGCTACTATTCCACCTGGAATTTCAACATGTGAGGCCAGAGTGAGTAAAGCAGCTGCAGACCGAGGATTGTTCAGCTTTGCTTTACAGCTCCTTTATGGATTATGCCAATAGTCCTCGGCTGTTATACACTATGTTAGTATTGCTGAAACATATTCATAAATTTGCTGTCATTCAGAAAAATCAGACTTTCCTAAATTAAGTGCATCGTATTTGCCTTTGCTGAGTAATATTTAGACCTATTTGCTGTTATTGTAACTTTGATCTTAAAATACGTAAAACACTGTGATGTGTGAAGCTTAAGCTCCCACTCTATCCTGCTAATATGATTGAGTGTGGCTGTTGTACTGTCCTTGGAAATACATGCACAGCACAGAGGGGAAGTGAGGGGTGTGTGTGTGGGGGGGGGGGGGGGGGGGGGTTTGAATGAATTAGTGTGTCTGTGGGGGGTTTCCACTATAGCCCTTACAGTTTTTCATCCTCGTGCAGAGAGAGAGAGAGAGTGAGCATCTTGATTGGTTCTAGTGCATGAATGCACAAGCAGCATGTCAACAGGGATTGTGTGTGTTTGTGTGATTAGTTTGAGTACAGGAGAGGCACACCGGGCAAAACCATGTGACGCTGAGCTTGAGTAGACTGCAGAAATCCACTCGCTCAGTTCATCCCCACAATGTCATACTGACGCATTCCAAAAACCCTGGTTAAGAGGCTATCTTCCATTGTTAAAGTAAAGTATCCGATAAAATATCACACAATCTTCTCATATGTTTAACTACTTCAGACAGGGGACAGCGAGCATAGCTGTGATCACATTTGAGAGTGGCAGGCCTCAGTGTTGGCTCTTTGATCTTCCTCGGTCTGCTCCTTTGAAACACCAGTGTTCATCATGAAAGGACTCGCTGGGGAAAGAGGCATGTATGCTTTCACTGATGCTTAAATGTTGGGACGTCTTTGTGGATGAGTGTGTGTGTGTGTGTGTGTGTCTGTGAGATAGACTGGGTAAGAAAGCGGTTGAACATGCCTGTTTCTCATTACCAGTGAAATATGGTGAGCAAGTCACCTTTGATCTTTAAAATTGGCAATTTACTGCTTGAAAGAGTGTCTGTCTGTGTGTGTGTGTTTGATAAAGAGCGAGAGAAGGCAGAGAGAAAGTCCTCTTCTGCATTCATCTCAAGTCTGTGCACTGATAAAGTCCCGACTCATTAGTCACTTATGTAAATATTCCTGCTGAGTTGAAAATTATTTTCACTGAATACGTCAACATTTTCGTTTTAAACATGATTCACCATTACTAAATGGCATAACCTACCAGACAAAATGGACTTCTAGGTCTTTCCACAGCTGTTTTATAAAAAAGCCTAGATTAAATTTGTGGAATGGCCCAACTCTGCCTCATTCAGCTGAGTAAGCAGTTATTATTGAGGTTGTGTGACCCCTATTTTCCTGATGGTGTTGATGCCTTGTGGCTGTAGTAATTATGATGAGCACACAGTGAAGTAGAAGCTCAGTTGCCACAAGTTGGTTTGATTTGATGAACGGAATAAACAAACGTTTGTTACCTCACTTCCTCTTTATCTTTTACAGTTTCCTTGAAGTATTGTTTTTTTGTCTAAACTTACAATCCTGTTTTCTAAACCTAACCGAGTAGTTTTGGTCCCTTAACTCTGTTGGCCGGTAGGTGCAGTCGTCTCGAGTATTTTGACTCCCAGCTTTTTCTTTCTGTGAGAATTGCTATTTATGTCGTAAAGCTGACTATCTGATCAATTCTTTTAAGGTGCATCTTCTGCAGTCTGAATAATTTAATTCTGAATCTGAGTATTCAATAAAGGTTGCATACAATATCTGTCACCGACTCTCTTTTCTGAAAGAACTACATGTTCTAGGTATGTTTATTCCCTAAATTTGAGTGTGAAATATCTCAGGAGAACACTGTCTTTCTTGAAATTCAGACACAAGTTGAGCTTTTTATTCATTCATCTAAATGGCATCAATGTCTATTTTTCTCTGCTGGGTTTACTGTCTCAAACAGTGCTTACTTGACATGAATATTGACTGCCAACAGGATACAATCCAAATACAGTACTAAAGGTGTGAAAGACCTATAGCTTGGTTGTTAAAAGGAGGTTTAGCAGTGGTGTGCTGTGATACTGTGCAGCTGGAATCCTTGGTAGCAGAGGTGGGAGATAGTTTCTCTCTTTTCTGACAGTTCTGTGGTTAATAGGAGAGGGAGCTGCTGGCTTGAACGGGAGCTCTGAGTGATCTGAAGCAACCTCTGAGTTAAATGCAGCTTTTAAATGAGAGCTGGGTAGACTGAGCAACATCTTAGCCTGTGTAGTGTAGGAGTCTGGGATTAACGGTTCCATATCATCATGTACAAGTTGCCATATACAGTCAATTAATCTCAAACAGATTAAATGTGGAAATATTGCCTACATTGCTGTTCCAACTAAAAATGCAGAACCCCATCTGCACTTCTTTCACGTAAGCTGACTAAGTGCTTCCAGCTCACTTTGAAATGGGGGAGAGCTGAAATTTGTGAGGACAGTCGAACATCTACCAATACACCCTTGTGTATTTCCCCAGGTGTTTATGAACCAAAACAGGGATTAAAGTTGTATGGATTTAAGGGCTACATGCAGAAACATGACTAGTGGGCTAGGATACAGTATGTTTGTAGTTGGGGCCCTTCTCTCTGTCTAACATCTAAAACTGTTACAACAACGGTGGATAAAAAGCCTGTTTGTTTGGATTGCAAACAAGCAGTCCTAAGAGTGCAAAGCAATTGTACATGCTTGAATATAATCAGTCATACACATGTGATCCCTCCTTCACTCACAAATTGATCTTCTTGTTCATCTCTTTGCCCGTCTCTCTTTCTCCACACATGCACTTTCCACCCAACCATCTGCTCTGTCTCTGCCACCTCCTTACACTGAAATCTGCACAGAAATGATGCAGGTAAATTATGTTTCAAATCAGTCACAGATGGATGGAGAGGAGAATAGAGAATGATGGAAAACGACGATTCATTACCAGCATATGAGGTTATCTAAGTGGGCTGCCAGCCAGACCGTTCCTTATTTATGAGGAATCCTCCTAATGTTTACAAATGTGTTTGAGTGTGTGCACGTGTGCGTATTTGTGAGCTTTTGTGGAGGTTGAGGTGAAGGTGTTGAGGGGCATAAAAGGTGCACATGACAGCATAGTGCATTATAGAAAACCATCAACACAAACTTTAAGAAAACAGTACCTTAGTTTAATAAAACATAAACACAGTGTTAACATTATACTGAAATTGTATTTACATTACATCGATATGTATTGGTTTTCATCGTATTTTACACATGATGTACAGCATGCTGTGTCCTTGTTCTTGGCATACGGATGGCTTGTCCATCATATTATATATATGTACATGTATTATATTGTGCACCATATTATATATTTTCGCATACTTGTGTATGTTAATCTGTGGAAAAGATAGCAATTGCTGTGTATGTGAAATAGAGAGACATACAAACAGACACAGAGAGAGAGAGAGAGAGAGAGAGAGAGAGAGAGAAAAAGAGGTATACATTTTGCAGTCTACAATTGATTTGCAGCTTAAGGCACACACAGCTGATTGTCTAATTTGAAAATCAAGAGCTCCAGACCTTTTATACCCTATACACATTAACTGAGAAACACACCCTGTATCCCCCTCCCCCCTCTCTCTCGCTCTCTCTCTCTCTGTCTCTCTCTCTCTCTCTCTCTCACATACAGTACATACATATATACATACATTTGTCTCCCACAGCGCTTTCTCCTGGCGAGCACTCTTCATCTTCTCAGTTCTGCGTCCTTTGAAACCCCTAGGGGACATTTTTTTCCCCATGAAAAGGTTTCCATTTTCACCTTTAGCATCGATGTCAAGATCTTCATGCATGCTAGCCACAAATTCAGCTCTTACTGTGAAACTGCTTCCTATCATTTATAGGCACACTGCACCAATTCAGAGAACATTAATGCAAATGAAATTGAAGATCTTTGTGACAGACTTGATTTAAGTTAGCAGTAGGTGTGTTGACTCAGTGTCCACGTGTGCTCTAACTGACTAAATCACATTTCATAAATTAAATCTCTTAATTGTTTCTTTTAGTGTTCTGGGAAAACAAACCGTTTTGGGTATACATTTTCCACCAACACCACGACTGCTTTTCTCTTGCCACTTCTCATTTATTTGCTCTGCTCCCACAGAGTGACAGACTCTGTCTCTTTGCCTTGCAATGTTCCTGCTTTGGGGAAACTTTTGAGCTATTTGAGTTTGCGGGTCGGAGTGTCAGGCCACTCAGAATATACAGGCATTGTTGTGGATCTATGTGTGTCAACAAAAAATACACTAAGGGGAGTGCAATAGACCCTAAAAACATATTTAGCAGAAAAGGGTTATAACCTGTGATTCTTGTCTCTGTTGATAAAGAAAATGTCTCTCTGTCCTGCTGGGATGTGACAGTTTGTCACTGTGAATTGTGAAAGGGATCCATTTAGGAAGAAAAAAAATGACATATTGAATAGGAGGCACATTTCCAAGCCTCTGTGAGTGAATGTGTTGACAACAACCAATTCAACGCCGGTCAAAGAGTCATTGGATGACCACTCACTCAGAGTTCATCATGCCAGAGCAGAGGATGACAGCTCCATCTCTCCCCTGCCAATCAGAGCTGTTGACCTGAGATGGCCTGGTGCTTTGACCCTAGTGGAGTTCATTGATCTGCTCAGGGACAGGGTCAGAGTTGGGTCAGAGTTGAAGAGTTCGCTGAGGAGTGATGATTGGGTTAGAGCTGCCCTCGTCCATAGAGAGACATTAAAGACTTGGTTTGCCTAGTTGCAACATAATCAGTTTTATGTTATTAATGAATACTTACCCTTGCTCTCCCCTTGAATTTTCCATAACTCCTTCCACACTGTCTTCTCTTCTCTGTCTCCAGGGTGGAGGCCATGCATCGTCGGCACACCACACTAAGAGAGAAGGGGCGTCGCCAAGCAGTGCGGGGCCCAGCTTACATGTTCAATGAACGTGGCTCGGCACTCACTGCAGAAGAGGAGCGTTTCCTGGATGCTGCTGAATATGGAAACATTCCTGTGGTCCGCAAAATGCTGGAAGAGTCCAAAACCCTTAACTTCAATTGTGTGGACTACATGGGCCAGAATGCTTTGCAGCTTGCGGTTGGCAATGAGCACCTAGAAGTGACCGAGCTGCTTCTGAAGAAGGATGGTTTGGCGAGGATCGGTGACGGTCTGCTTTTGGCTATCTCCAAGGGTTATGTGAGAATCGTTGAAGCCATCCTTGCCCACCCTGCCTTTGGTGGAGGTCTCCGGCTGGCTTTGAGCCCTCTGGAGCAGGAGATGCGAGATGACGACTTTTATGCCTATGACGAGGACGGGACCCGTTTTTCTCATGACGTCACTCCAGTTATCCTTGCTGCTCACTGCCAGGAGTACGAAATCGTTCACATCCTCTTGACGAAGGGGGCCCGCATAGAAAGGCCACACGATTACTTCTGTAAGTGCTCAGAGTGTGTGGACAAACAGAAGGAAGACTCGTTCAGCCACTCACGCTCCAGGATGAATGCATATAAAGGCCTGGCCAGTGCAGCGTACCTGTCGCTCAGCAGTGAAGACCCTGTGCTGACCGCCCTCGAGCTCAGCAATGAACTGGCAAGACTGGCAAACATTGAGACCGAGTTCAAGGTAAGATGATATCAATTTCTTTTCTCTGTATTTCACTCTTTTTTTTGTGAATCAGTAGTTTTGTACTTCGTTCCCCGACTTTCTTGTGTCCAGTCATACACAAACTACAACATCATTTGTATTGTTTGACAAGATTTAGGAATAAAATAATGAAAAAGAAGACACACACATCTTTTGAAAACACACAAAAAATGCTTTTAATTCATTTAATTCATCTTCTAATATTAATAACAACTTTACACAACCTGTAACTTATCCCCTTTTGTATCTTTACATTCTCCCATCCCCATATATTTCTTTATTTCTTCTGTTTTTATGAGTTTATGCAGATTAGGGACCTACAGCTGAATGAAGATTTGGAAGTCCAAGAGTTTTGATGCTCCTCTGTACTTGCCATAACGGAAAATATCATTACATTAATGCTCTTATACTGAGAATAAAGATTTAACAAGCTATATGGACACAGAACTGGACTTCCATGATAACAGTAATGGTGTAAAGAAGTGTCTTGTCATAATTGTTGCTCAATAGACTTATTGCAGCCACAGTATTGATATGTGCAGTCCACACTCACTCTCCAAAACGTTTTTTAATCAGTAAATAAACCCGTCTTGATGTACTGACATTTATCCCAAAGCTGGTTTATTGTCTCGGTTTGGGGAAAAGAACGCCCACTGACTTACAGTGTTGGGCAGATTTGGGCAGGCTTTACTATACAGGACATGATTCCAGCCCACTGTGCCAGCTTCTACACCTGTCTGTGATAAACTGGCTTGAGGTTTTAAAGGAAGCAAATACACTGACAAATGAGAGAAAGAATCATTGAGCAAGCTAAACAGCCGACCTGTAGACTCTGTACTGAAAACAAGCTCACTGCTCATGAATTTAGGAGGCACAAGCATATGATTACACTAATCAGATAAATATGATGTGATAACACTCCATATTTTCCTTTCCTTTACCTTCATTCACCCACGTGCTCTCTATTTTTACCTGCCTGACCTTATTCATTTTCTCATCAGTTCTTCTGCCCATCTTTGTGTTTGTCATTCAGCCTGTCTGTTTGCCATCTTGTTTCCTGACTGCAGACAAGTTAATGAGAAGGGCTCACCTGAGGGAGCAGAGTTGTGTTGGAGCTCATCCGTTTCATTACCATCTCATTATCACCCCCTGTCTCCTCTCTGTATATGGCTCCCTGTCCTTCTGCCAGCATCATATGATACAGGGTGCCAATAGCCTCAGATAGCTGTAGTCCTGTTTCATGGGTGAAGATTAAACTTCAGAGAAAAGGAGTTAGTGAGATTGAGGCATGATGTCACTGACAAAGAATGTATGATAACAGTTGCAACACTCTCTCATTGATGACACCTAAATGCTTAAAAAGATTTCACTTTAGCGAGTAACACCAACATTTCAGAAGTCTCTAAAGTTTATGTTTGCATTCTATCATGTGTCAATTCAATGTTAGCTTTAGCTACTTTCTAAATACTGCTTACTTTAAACAGGACAGAGGCCTGGGAAGAATGTCAAATGGTAATTTGACTTGGACAGCTTGGGTAGTACTTGTAGAGACGTTTTTAGTCTTGTGACCACTCAAAGTGTTTTTAAACTACACATCACATTCACACACTGATGACAGAGGCTGCTAAGTTAAGTGTCCATCATAATAACTGATTCCATTCATACACATTCTCACGCTGCAGGGTTCAGTGTCTTGATCAAGGACATTTCGACATTTGACTGCAGACCCTCTAACGGTCATGGGCCTGACTGCAATCAAGCTAAGCTAAGCAGTTGACTCAGATGGCTTACGTTGATGAAAGTTTATACATACAAGAATACTCCGGAGCAGAGATGGAGTAGCAAGCTCATAGTCTGATGCTGTGTCCCTGCTATGCCAATTCTCCCAAACTCTTCGACGGGCTTTGCATATACAGAAAATACATTATTGACGTCAGAGTCACACTGACCTAAACCAATCCATGTAGTACAATTTGGAACAGACACTAAGTCTACCAAACATGCAGATATAAAGGGGAAGACCCTTGACACACTAAGCTGTCCTTGGTTTCTAGTCACAGCTGAACTGTATCAGGTCTGACTGACATCAGAGAACAGTGAATAAACATAATGATGTTTGCACACTTAAATCTTAATACATAGGTACAGAAATTCCACCACACATACTTATTTTTACCATATTAATGTTCAGAATGTTGCTTATTTAGCTATTTTGCTTGTCAGTTTGCAACTATTTGAAATACAAGTCACCATGATTAAATGCTAAATGTAGGCAGAGTAACAAAGTGTTATATTCGAACCTACTCATGTATACACTTTTTCTTACAAGGAGTAAAAGTATACACATAAACAGTACATAACGTTGAGTGGAAGCTAATTCACTTTCTCGCCCTGTAGCACACACCTTGTAGCCTGTCAGAGTACAGAGGTGACAGAACTGCTGGTGTTTGGGTTTGACGTTGATGTGCCGATTGCCAAAGGCATGAAGACCTCCCTAATGGAATAACATTTATCTTTAAACATCTTATATTTCAAGACAGCCCATTGATTTCTCAAGAAAGCCTCTGGACACACACACACACACACACACACACACACACACACACACACACACACACACACACACACACACACAAACACACACAGGGAGGCTGAGACACAGGGAGAGAGTGAAAGAAAGTGAGGAAGAGGGTCTCAGTTACATTTTGTAAATCCCATTTCATCTGTTCTCTTGGCATGTTTGAATTTTGTTGGAAATAAAGAGTCCACAGAAAAAGGATAAAAAAGGTAAACCAACTGGTACAGGTCCAGTGACGAGCAACAACACTAACTCCCTCTAGCCATCTCTTCTGCTCATCCCTCCATCTTACATCACCCCCCCCCTCCCTCCGCTCACTCATCTGTAACCATTCTCACTCTGCTTCACATCACTCTGTCTCTATTTTCAATCTCACAACATTGTTCTTTTTCCTTTATCTCAGCCCCAGAGGCACAAACCCCATATACTGGGTTGTGATTGGATTTTCAAACATACTGAACATATAGTGATTCTGATTGTGTGTATTTGCTGTATAATGGAACACCATTCATTAAGAAAACATTCTCCGACATTTGCGACCCCTCAAGCCATGCCTTTCGCTGAATGTAAAGAGATGATAAATTGATTTAACTTAAAAGCCTGGAGTCAAAACCCAAATGCCAGTTTTACTTGATGTTCCCAAAGGCCCAATTTATGCTTGCAGCCATTGCTTACTGTAATGCCTAGAAATTATAACAGTTTTTAAATTTGCTTGTATTGATGTCACCTTTCAACAAACCTTTTCAGAATGTGCGCCTTTTGATGCAGATTTAAAAATGTAGTATTATTAACTATTTGGTACTTAGAGTACGAACACTCTGTTAACGTATAAAAGCATTTTATATTCAACTCATAGTTCCAGTCAAACTAGAGAGTAATCCCGCTTGAATGCTAATTATGTGCAAGGTCAGTACATCACTAGTAAATGAAAGTAGTAAGGACTGTTTCATACCTGTAGTAAAGGTGCATCCCAACAGAAAGGGACTTATGTAAAGGGTTTGATGAAAGCGGGCATGATCAACACACTGTAATAATGTGTTTGAACACATTACAAAAGAGCGCTGAATACATAATAAGATCAGTCCTCTGGGACTCTCAACCTGCCAGAAGCTCCAATCTGCCGACTGTTAGGACTACTCAGGCTTGTGGTGAGGAGCATGAGTGAGAACGAGGCAGGGAGGTGAGGAGGCGAAAGAAAGAAAGAAGGGTGAGGAGACAGAGGAGCAGAGGGTTTAAGACTGTAACGAACTGTGAAAGAAAAGGATGAGAGAGGGTTGAAAGGCCTGATGGGAATTGTTCATTAAAGTGAAGTGTAAGAAATTACCATATATTGAACTGGAGGATTCAGAATTTTGAGATTAATTCAATTTAAGCATTCAACAGAGGTGATTGTAACTTTGACAGTTTCTTCTCCATAAATTATTGAAATATATATCTTCTTTTGCTTTCCAGCACTTGGATGTAGAAGTTAATGTAGTCCCTTAAGTTCCTAAAGATAATATTTTTATATGTAGCCCTCAAGTGATTATCCTGCCGTTGAAGATTAAATCAAATAAATTCCACCAGTAGCAGCTGAGGAGCCAGTGGCCAAAAAGTGTACCAGCTCAAGTTGCGCCTCACATCTTCCTTACTGTAGGGTACTGTATTATTTATTATCTGCTTTAGGAGCATCTAAGAGAATCCTTTACCAACTTTTTTTTTTTTTTTTTTACATTTTGAGCATGTAGCCTACAGCCCAAATTAATTAAAGCTTTGTTCTAATTTTGGTGTCATTTTTGATCACCATCCGGCAAAAAAAAGCCTTTAGGTTTTCACAGTTTGATCTTATCTTACCTCATCCTTTCTTCATTTCAAACTTCAGACTCAACAGAAAGGTTTTAATAGACAGCATCGTGATGTTTCTATATCAACGATAAATGTGCACGTTTTGCACGTTTTGCACGTGTGCGGCCTTTAACTAGCCTCAGGTTGATTGTCTTCATTTCTAACAACTTTCCTTGTGAGAGCATAATAACAGTGAGGTGTTATATTAACAGTATGGAGGGGGTATGTGGAAACATCAATCTTTATTTATTCAAATGAATACATCTGAGTCATGGGCGTTCAGTTTTCAGTCGTGCTTTTTTTCTATTCAATTGATTTGCATTTATTATATTTTGAAAATGTTAGCAAAATAAAAATGGAAATCAGTATTCCATCAACTGGTTTTATGCAAATACTGTGAGCATGCAAAGAGAATGCAACTATTTCTTTGTTTAATCCATGGCCTTTGTTGCTTGCAACCCAGGAAGACAATTGTGTTTACTAGATGAAAGGATTGCCTTCCTGTGTTTAAACTGTCCATCTTCTCCTTCTCCTTCTCCTCCTTCTTCTTCTCCTTCTTCTTTTATTTTTCTCTTACTGTTTCTTCTTCTCTCTCTGGTGTTGTAGTTTATTTCCCTTAGCTTAGACGTGTTCATATAACTGCCTCAAATATACATTTTTTTTAAATAAGGTGGTTTGAATGCAGGAATTAAGCATACAAATCAACAAAAACTGTCCTGATGTTTAAAGCTTTCCATTTCATCTGTGACTGTTGTTTCTGAGAATGTATGGAATTTTGGAACGTCATGATAACAACTTAATGTTCCAATGAAATAATTGTCAAAAATTGTATTTTAACCCATAGATATGATTGGCCAGTGACAGTTTCTGTCATTTTTTTGCCTGCTTTCCTTAGGCAAATTTAAGTTTGAAAGAAATACAGATTATACTTTGGGTCTCAAAATGCAAACAAGTCATTTCTTTTAGAAAACTCAATCTGCTTTGTTTTGAGATGAAAAGGTCATGAACAAATTCACACTCAAGCACCATATTAGAATTTCAATTGAGAATCAATATCCCGATGGTTGACATTTCTTGGGTCATTAACCATAAAAAATGTCTTAATGTCCACTAGAGAAGCAGTGTCACAGCTAAACTGAAAATTGTCAAAGATTGGAAAAATACACAGATGACTGCTCTGTGCACAGGAGGAAAATATGAGAACATTACAGTACTGTTATGTGTAAGACTAAGTAGACAGACACTGAGTAAATATGGGATGGCCAACAGAGTGTAAAGGAAGCATGAGGGCTCTGTCAACATCTGATGTGTCTTGACAATGATTGCATTTATACATTCGAGTAAGCATATGCTTTCTTTAAAATTTCTAACTTTTCCTTTTTCCATATTTTCTTCTTCAAAGTCTGTCACTACCAACTCAAATATTTATGTCCTTCTCTGACTCATGCAGAATGACTACCGCAAGCTGTCCATGCAGTGTAAGGACTTTGTGGTGGGTGTGTTGGACCTTTGTCGGAACACAGAGGAAGTGGAGGCCATACTTAACGGAGACGTGGACCAATGTCCTCCAAGCCCTTACAACCGACCCTGCCTCAGCCGAGTCAAACTGGCCATCAAGTATGAAGTCAAGAAGGTAAGATGAAAAACAATACAGGATTATGAAGTTGTTGTTTTTTTTTACAAGTTTTCTCATGGTGTTTGGACTTGAGACCATGACCTGAAAACAGAAATTACAAGTTAGGGTCCAACATATCCCATGATGCATCAATTTAAAACCCTTCCAACCCAGATCATCTCTTTTAGCCCGTAAATGTATTTTTATTCGTGAACTCCAGCGAGTCAGAAGAAGTTTAATATTGTCACTATGGAAAAGTTGTGGTTTATTTTTTTTCTAGAGCTGGTCAACTTTTGGAAACCCTACGCGGATGATACACAACTGTTTTCACAATCAGAGTCGTTCGTACTCCCTATGACAGGTAAACCTGATGTAGATGTCAAAATGATCCAGTGCCCCAATGGTGTTAGAGGATGTAGTTCAAAAGTTACCCATAGATTTGAAAAAAAGGACTGATAAGTATAATCTAATGTCAAATTTTATAAATCTTTTAATTTCTTTGATTAGAGGTTTCATCATAATCCCATATATTCATATTTCCTTCAGTTGGTTTTAAAATATTTCCTTAAATGTTACTTGTATACAATATATGGTATGATTTTTTATTTTATTTCTGAAGGGCTTTAAAATAACAGCGGTGTTTTACCACCTGTACTGTGACTCATCAAATGTGTGTGCGTAATCTAACTGCATGAGTCTTTTTATTGTGTGTACATTCAGTATGTTTTAATGTATTTTTCTTCTGTAAACAACAAACCGGCCTTGATTTCAGAGAGCAAACCCATGCTGACCAGAGGTGCTCTTACAAAATGTCAAACCAAATCCTTTTTCCCCTTTTACCACAACCACACTGTGCCTATTACAAACACCCACGCATGAACTGGAGAGACCATGGAGAGACCATGGAGACCAGGTGGAGCATGACTGCCTGTAGGGTGCAGGCAGGGTTCATGTCGTGGGTCACTGCTGGGAAATAATGTTAAGAATGATGATTGCTGTGTGTGGTGTCCTGCTGAATGTAGAAATGATTGAGTGAACATAAACACATTGTGAGTTTCGATCGGCGGATGGAAGAAGAGCAGTCAGTCGTCAGCTTAGATAAATGATCTCTGGTGAGATGACCGAGGATGAGAGGAAAAGAGGTGGGGATGACTGATAGTGGGAGTAAAAAAAAAAAGAGGCAAACCAAAATCAATGGAGAGCAGGTTTGACAAGAGGGAGACCTGCTGTGCAAATCTTTGACGTGAACGAAAATCAACACACGAACACCACGTTTGACTGTTACACCAGCTGACCTCCTGCTGAGCATTGATTGCTCTGTAGTTCACATCCTTCTCCCAGCTGAAACAAAAACATCCATCCTCTTACCTCTCAGCAGACTGGTGGTTGCTCTCATTTATCTTTCTCTTTCTAGGAGGAAATTTGTCACCAGATGCTGAAATACCGGACTGAGCCCTGTCTGGAAGCAAACATTCTCCAGTAATGAATGTAAACACTCAGTGCTTCTTGTTTGCTGGCTGCTTCCTTTTAAAAACTGCCTGTATAATAAATCCGCTGACCTACTTGTTTAGGTTTTTGTCATTCTAAATACAGCCAGGTGTCAGCTGTGAACCCAAGCATGTTATGAATGATATTGTTTAATTGTGTTATAATTACACAATAGATCTGCTCTAAATATTAAATCAGCCTGCACACTCAGGTTCTCGGGGACATCTGGAATATTGACACTAGCAGCAGCCCTCCTCATGAATGTACTGTACATCATTTTCTAACCTGATTGATTTGACATTCATTGACGTCATAAAAGCACAAGAAAGTGGTAACAATGTAAACAACAAATAAATATAAGAGGATGATCTTTGCATTCAAATAAAAGCAGGATGGAAAAGCCTTTTCAGATAATGCCCCTAGGATTTGTATAGATCATCTTGCTGTCTTTCAGGTGACCTCTTTCAACCCCCCTGGTATCTTAAAGAAAGACAATTGGCCACAGCAACATGTTCTAACTCGTGCTGCTGCAAACAAGTCCTGATGTCATTTTCTTCCCCTTGTTACTGATTTGCCATATTATGGACATGATACAGTGTTGAGAACATTACCCAACTATCAAAATACTCATAAAATAATGTCCTGCAATCACAGATGTACGTTAGTTTGAAAACATGTAATAGCAGAAAATTGTACTCAAGTATTCAAACACAAAAGCTCTGGTGCAGATTGAGCCCTGTCAGAGTATCATCGAGAGATTTTCTAGGGATTTGAGTTTACAGTATCATGTTAGGTGATGCAAGTAGCTCTTAGCAGCTTTTAATGTTTGTGTGTAAACATTGAATGGTAAACGGTAGTTTTCTTACATTCATTACGTTGTATCTACAAGGTTGTTTTCTACAAAAATAATGAGCCCCAATATAACTCTGCCTCTGCTGTCAGCCTGTTATATAAGACACCTTCTTCCTGTTTGTGACAACTGGACTGGTTCAATTCAGCAGCCGGATATTTACAGCCAAGATGCTCGCTCAACCTGCTGCTTGTGTAAAGACCTCATAGATTCCTCAAGGAATCAGCGAAAAACATCAGAAACAATTATTGCGAATGCTTTATGAAGATTGGATGAGAAAAGAAAAAAAGCTTCTCTTAAAATGGTCCTCATGCTGCTTTTTGCTCCTTCCCCAGCTTGTTCTTTCTCCTCTGTGCTCACATTTCTTTTCCTGTAGAAGACACTGATTTAAACTTGTCCCCGTCTCTTCCTCCAGTTTGTTGCCCATCCAAACTGTCAGCAGCAGCTGCTAACTATCTGGTACGAGAACCTTCCCAATCTGAGGCAGCAGTCTGTTGGGGTGAAGTGCTGGACAGTGCTGGGAATCACTGTAGGTCTACCCTTCCTGGCCATCTCCTACTGGATAATGCCATGTAGCAAGGTATGAACCCACCTGTGCTCTAGGTAACAATCAAAGAGAAACCCTTGACCTCAGCTGTTTGCTCTGTCATCCTTCATCTGAGTTTATCACACATTATCACACCATTAACCCTGAACATTTTCTGTGGTTTTTACATTCCTACATACCTCAGATATGAACTGACCTGTCACTTAAATAATCCAATAGCCTTATACATCTTTCAAATTTATAAAAAAAACACATCTGGCTTCCTGGAAATCTATGTATTTTAGGCTGAAGTAGCTGATGTTACTGTCCAAGGTTCCAATGATTCTGAGTTTTATTCTATATCTACTTTTTTTAGACAGCTCCACTTCCGGGACTATATGACAAGAGGTCTGGGCCTAAATCATTCTGACAAAGTTCTCTGAAATAGCTCAAGTTGCAAAAAGTGCGACTACTCCTTCTCCTTATTTTAAGGCTAACTCTGCACCCTGTGAGTCCTCAATGTTAAATAAAAGGTACCTGGCTGCACTGCACTCACGCTCCAACATACAGGCAATTCAAACCATTGAAACTCTCCAGCATGTTTTTGGATTATCCCGATTGAACCCTGCAGGGGTACAACATACAACCTCCAAACAGACATGCCCCTGTCCTGCCAGGAATTCCATAGCTCTTACCCCTGCACCATCATGCTGCCTACCTCAGTCCTGTTACCCTGTGATATCAAGCAAAGCATTTAAACTTTCTGACATGATGGTTTAAGAGCATTGTTACAAATAAGAAACAGGAAATTGAGTAATGTAAAATAAAAGCTAACAGTATATTTATAAGAGTGCCACAGAAACATCAACATGCTAACAGAAACAATGTTTATAAACTGCATGCTAAAGTAATGAACAGTTCTCACTTGCACTTTATCAAAGGTTGTTAATACGCCATCAAGAAAATTATAATCTATAAAGTGACACAATACGACACACAGAAACACAAACTCACACTGGAGCTGAGGGCAAATCTGCTCATCAACCTGGATAATCCTCTACCTCAACATCAAGTGATGTGTGTGCGCGTGTGTCAGTGTGTGTGTGTGGGTCATGTCAGATGTGACTTGAATTAGTAATTTTGTAGACCGAGAGAGTGAGTATTGGCTCTCGAGTGAAGGGCATTCTTGCTGAGAGCGTCTTCACCATTGAGACATGAATTCAATCATGAGAAACACCTGTGTGTGTTTATATCTGTGAGTTTGTTTCTGCGCACACACGTATGCCCTGAGTGTGTGTGTGATTACATCACAGTAACAATATACCAACCAGTTCAAAACTGTGTCTCAGTCATAGCCTTTGCCAGCACAGATAAAAGAGTAAGAAGTACATTATTATAATTATTATTATCATCATTTCAGATTTATTGTTTGCTTTTTATGTTGTTTTATAGAATCAGAAACCTGCGAGAGAAAGAGTCATTGATGACAAATTAAACATATAACCATGAAACAACAGTTTTGGATTTGAATCATTATGAGCGTTGCTCAATGGTTTTATTAATCACGTGATTAAAACAAAGCGAAGAAAAACAACCAGACAGACCAGTTACCTTGTGTGCCCTCTTACACCTCAGGCTTATCATGTTCTTCTCATCTCACTAATTGCTCTTCTACAGCTCATAATATTCTCCTTTTTAACTCCACCACCACACATTATTGTCAGATCCCCCAATCCATTTTACATTTCCTATCAGCAGGGAGAGATTGTGAAGATATTAAAACACTTTGTAGCTCAGAATTGACTAGTAGGTCATCAAAAATGTGCTGTGACGGTGATGAAAAACAGACGGCTATTTAATATCCAATGATTCTTATTGAGAGAGAATAGTTTTTAAAAAAAAGATGAGATGCATTGGAAGGTGCAAAATAGAATACCTTTAGTTTTCTTCTGAATGACGTAAAACACATGAAACAGAATTTATGCATGGCTTTTTGGTCAATTTCCTTATAGAGCAAGCTCCATGCTTGAGTCAAGCAATCACTCTGCCTTAATATTTCACCCGTCTTTTACAGCTTGAATCAATAAGTTGTATTTAATTATTGATAAACTGTTGCCTTATTATTAATTATTTAGTACTGAAGAAAGGTAAGAAGAGATGAAAGCAAGGAAAGACATGGAATGAACAATGAAGCATAAAAGGAAACAAACAAGAAAACAATCAAGAAAACAGTTGCTTTATTAATTCTATATGGTTGCATTTGTGATTAATAATTCAAATGAGCGATCTGAATTGGTAAAGATGACAAGAATGTTTGCTTGAAGTAAGGGGGAGACAAGTTGAGAACAGAAACTCCAAAATGTAGACACTTGTGGGAATCCCCATCATCCACTGTCTTTTTTTAACACAAAGTGCACATACAGTGTTATCTACAGCTTGACAGGAGGTTTTTCCTCACATCCAGGTAAGTAATTATTCAGAGTGGATGCCTGTCTGCTCACAGTGTATGTCGGGTCGGATATTCTGAGGTTGAATCATGTAAAGGGAATAATAAAGGACACAGCGGATCTATTCGAGTCATTTCACAGCCAACTATTTATTTACATAAACCTGTTTCCAGGAGACATTGCTGAAGGAGAGAATATCCATTCTCATCAAAATCACAGTGATAAAAAAGAAAAGAAAAAGAAGCCCACTATGTTTGCAGTCCTCACCAGGAGTCATCAGTATCTGTGATGACCATCTCACTTAAACTGAGGGCTTAAATGGATCAGTGCAGGGTGGGAGATGGTTGTAAATGAAGGAGGAAGAGCTCTTCCCAGTGGCAGAAGGAGCTTCAAAGCAGGCTTTGCAGGGTTAGGATTAGCCAGACAACCTATTCCACTAAGCTTTGGTCGTGTGTGTTGCAGGGAGGCAGCTATTGGATGTGATGTGTTACAGTGCATGCAGAGAGTAGAGATATCCTGTGGGTAGTTAATATTGAACACAGCAGGTTGAGAGAGAGGCAAACGTTCAGATCACAAAGATGTCGAAGGGTTGGAGGTGTGTGTGCACATTTGTGTTTCTTCTGCACCTCCATGCTGCATCATATTGTCTCCATATGGCACATACCAAAAACTGAATCTTCCTGACAGAATGAAAAATTAGTGTTTGTGCTTCAGTGTGGAGGTAAGTTGGTCCCGACATGTTTCCTGCATTTGGTTTCACTGATCTGTAGGTGGCAGTAATGCTCCAAGAACTGCTGCAATGTGCAGTTGCATGCAAGGAAGGAAAGAATGAAGGATTCAAAGTGTTATGAAAATTGCCTCTGCTAATGTTTTTCATCAAGGAATTTGTTGGAGCCTACTAATGCAAAAAAAGGTTATTTAATCAGTGACATTCATTCTTGATATAATCTTGGTTTATGTTAAAGTTAAAGTCAACATGGCACATTTGTAGATAGTGAGTTTTTGTATTGTTATTTTTAGATGGGATGAAATGACAATAGATAATATCAAAGGTGATGAAACCAAAGAGAATCAAAAACCCTTTTTTCCAGAGCACTAAAATGCTGTTTATAGAGGAAATTGCGTATAGAGAACTGCCGGCCCAACTCTAAAAAAGAATGTTAACCATTAGCTGTAAGATCTATTAATGTTATAAGAAGTAGAGGAGACAGAGGTTGAGCTAAAAGGACAGAGGATAGAAGACTTGAGTTGTGTTGGTCCGAAAACTATTTTGAGGCTGTTGTTGTGTTGTCTGTCTGCAAAAATGTCATCTGATTTTATTTATAAGTTGATTCACTGTCCATATTATGTTGACGGCTTTTTGTGCTGTCCCCTTATGTGCAAATATTACTGTTCCCTCTTTAAACTTTTAACCATGGAACCGATATATCATATTACCACCTTGATCTTCTCTCTTCCAGCTGGGTCAGATCCTGCGGAGCCCCTTCATGAAGTTCGTAGCACATGCCGTCTCCTTCACCATCTTTTTGGGTCTGCTGATCATCAACGCCTCTGACCGCTTCGAGGGAGTCAAGAACTTGCCCAATGAGACCATCACAGACCATCCGAGGCAGGTGTTCAGACTCAAGACCACCCAGTTCTCCTGGACGGAGATGCTAATCATGAAGTGGGTGCTGGGTGAGTGAGCTTCTCCCATACACAGTCCACACTTGCTGTGAGAGTGTTTTTTTTTTTTTTTTTTTCTTCACCGTGACATCCAATTCGAATGCAAAATGATGTCAGATCAGAGGTGGGCACGGTTAATCAAAAGTTTGACATTGTTAACCATCAATCCTTTAGCAAAGACGTTATTTATTATAATAATTAACTGAAGTTTACCGTTGTTACAATTTAAAAAGTGACTGTGTTAACTGGCGACTTTTGGCTACTATGTGTGGTTGTGGTTGTTCTAGTTAAAGACATATATGATTACTATTTTTGACATTTTAAGACTAAAAAATAAACAGAGAAGCATTTGATTGGACACTCTCTGTCCTCATCATCTGTTGTAGCTACAATAACAACAGACTCATTCAGCTAAAAGTTGCCAGTTAACATGGTGGCTTAATAAACCATAACACCTTTACAGTAATATCAACAAACAACAAAATCATCACCTCTTGCAATGTCAATAGATTTGAGTTTTTAAGAGGCCATGATGAGTTAGAAAACGTTAAATTATTCACAGTTTATTTTGTCTGTTTTGAAATTCAACAATTATTCAATTTAAAAAATATATATATCACCACTGTCTTCACATAGAGTCGCTTCAGAAGTACCTTCATGTAGCTCAAGCAGCATTTCAGCGCCCCATGCAGAGACAGGAATTTTGGTTTGTTATTCTATAAGCTCTCCATAGTACAGGAGGGGATATGCTCTTGTTCAGGTTGTCTGGGATCCTTCTTACAGCAGAGTTCAGATTTTACCAAAAACCCAATGTACCAGAAGGTAAAGGTACTGATCATCATTTCTCACATTAACATCCATGTTAAATATTTTTTAAAAAGCTGATAATTAACGATTAACAGACGTGTGTCCTGCTCTGTGTAAGATATTCACTGTGAAAACAGAATCTCCATCATAATAAAGAATTGCACATTAGAGAGTCAAGCTAAAATGTTTCCTGAGGAATCAACTCTTAAAATGGTTCATTTAAAAAAACAAAAACACAAGTGTGCTTTATTAATATGCAAACAGAGTTTTTTGATGCTGTTGTCGCCAGGATTTGAATGTCTTTTTTTTATCAACAAAATCCTGACCCATAAATCTTCATTACAAGAGGCTGAGGGAAGTGACTGGACTGTTTTCTCAAATGTAATATAAGTCAGAATGAAATATGAATACATCACTAAACCATGTGGATGAAAACAAAGTCTTAACTATACAATGTATTCTCTTCAACCCAGCAAAGGTCAAATAGAAGTGTCTTTGTCAGATGGAGACTTGTGAAAAATCTGGTCACACCTCTGAGTCCAATCGAAGAGCTGGAGGGAAAATTTGGTTGACCAGAGAGTTTGTTGCTGAGACAAGAGTAGAGAGAAATACAAAATGAGGCTAAATGAAATGAAAGTAAAGGTATGAGTGAAGAAGAAGACAGGCTTGAGGAAGCACAGAGAAAGACAAGTCAATATACTCAAATACTCAAATAAATAGCCAATGGCAATATCTGTCAGACCTCAGCTGCTTCCCATCTGCTGCTGTTCCTCCTTTCCACACACACACACACACACACACACACACACACACACACACAACAGCATTATGTGAGTGGTTTGTGTATGTTGGTGCACATATGGCTCTATTTCATTTGTTTATGTGTTATTGTGCCATTCTTATTCCAGGCATGGTAATGTTTTGGCAGCTTGTGTGTGTTTTCCCAAGTGTGAATCTGTGTGTGTTTGTGTATGGTGGCTTGGGTAAAGCAAGGTAATTGTAATTCCAGCTGCATGCTTCAAAGGCCCAGTAATTGTTATAGAGATGATTCTGATCAGGGCTGCCTTTTCAGTAAACAATTTTCTCCTTGTTTTGGCTCCAAATATAGAATGACAGAGGAATCTGTGTGTGTGTGTGTGTGTGTGTGTGTGTGTGTGTGTGTGTGTGTGTGTGTGTGTGTGTGTGTGTGTGTGTGTGTGTGTGTGTGTGTGTGTGTGTGTGTGTGTGTGTGTGTGTGTGTGTGTGTGTGTGTCTCTGTCTGTGTCTCTGTCTGTCTTTGTGTGTTCACCTTAGCTCTAAATGGATTCATGTTTGAATGAGTAGGTATAGTTAATTAGCTTTGTTCCCAGTGTCTGTCTTTTTTTCTGTGTGAGCATGTCTGTGCATTTATAAACTTCCTTTTATGTTTGTAGGAGTGCCTTTTAGAGCCTTCGTCCTGAGCATTTGTGTTCTCCTCCTGTGCTCTCCATCTTAGTATTCATCCACCTGTCCTCTTCCCCAGGTATGATTTGGTCAGAGTGTAAGGAGATCTGGAGTGATGGGCCCAGGGAGTACATCATGCATCTGTGGAACGTCCTGGACTTCGGCATGTTGTCCATCTTCGTGGCGTCCTATACTGCACGGTTCATGGCGTTCCTCAAGGCGTCCAAAGCCCAGCAGTATGTGGACCTGCATGTACCTGACGAAGACCTCAGCAATGCCTTACTGCCTGAGGAAGTTGCCTACTTCACATATGGTAAGAAATATGTGTGAGCTTTTTGATGTTTGATTTAAGGTTGCCAAGTTTTATGAATATTTGCTTTTGTGGGTTTTGCACAAAATTTCCGAAAGTTTAGGTATTCCAGTACGAATTTCTGTGTGAAGTCCTTTTCTTTGTCTTCCGAGCAATTGTGATTACCTTTCATGATAATCAAATTCCTCTATTTAGTCTCTTTCTGGGGCACAAATTGTTAAACTGCCTCGCCTCTTATCAACCAGACACTTTTCCCCACAAAGGGCCAATTTGACACCACACAATAAAACACTTTCCTGAGCTGCTTGAAACATCGTGCTACCTCAGTCACTGATAGGGCAGTAAGTCGGATGAATACTTGCGGAAAATTGTCAGGATTAATTCAAACCCCAAGCAGGTACAGTTTAAAATCAGAGTGGATTATTGTTTAGAAGCAAATGTCATTTTCAACTTATTTCAAGATATTTAAACAAAGAGGTGCACTGCTTGATCCTTGTACAGTATGGACGGCAGCGCAGCATATTAAATGCTTGCACACGCTGCTGCACTTCAACACAAACTCAAATATGTTATATGTGCACACAGTTTGTGCATGTGGGCATGTGTTAGACTGTTATTTTGTGCATCAGAGAAATCAAGATCAAAAACACTTTAACTCCACTTCCTGAACCAAAAGTCCGACTTTGAAACACTGAAACCGCAGTCTATAGGGTATAGGTTATGGTGGACTGTACAACGTACGTGGCCTACTAAGGGAACCTTCATCAGTGCTGTCATCTGGTGGTGTGAGTCTGACATGACATATCAGAAGATAAAGATGTAGCTGCATTAGAAGGTCAGTTATTTCTAAATGTCCATGTCTTCACTGGAAAGAGCAAACATTGTGTATAAGATACACACTCCTTGTCATAGATAGTCACAGTTTAAAGCAAATGAGTGATATTTCTTCCCTTTTCTCTGTTTGTAATATCTACTTGATTCATGTCTTTAAAATCACATTTTCCATCTGTCTAATTATCCTCTCCATCTACATGTCATGTGTGTCTCTATGACTTCCCTTCTCCCATTTTCTCTCTCTCTCTCTCTTTGGCCTTATGTCTCCTTGGGCCACTATCTCATTATCCCTCAACTGTCTCATACTTGTTTTTTTCCCTTCCTCACTCACCTTCCTACCTCCAACATCTCATTCTATCTTCACTTAATCCCCCTTTGTACTGAACCTTCTTGTCCTTCAAAGACCATGTTCCTAAAAGTCAAGATTATGCTCTTCAGAAACCTCTTCTGCACACATTTAGATCCTTCTGTAACCAAAAGTTGGCTCCATACATTAAGAGTTCAAGGCGTAACCAAAGAAATGCTCAATTTCACAAAAGTGTTAAACAGGAAAGTGTAAAAAAGTGACAAGTAACAACCCTCAGATCCATTGATAAGATCTGATACAACATTTGAATCCTAAAATCACAAATGCAGCAATGGAAGAATATTGGCTGTTATAATGTCATTAACACTTTCTAAACTTGCTTACCTAATGCATTAGAACGCGATTAAATGTGAAAATATAATGTGTAAGAATTGATCCAGGGATCTTTAGTTTTTTTCCAAACTACTCATAACCAGTATCCCTGTATAAAACATTGACCTCTGGCTTGACTCTGCAGTAGCTCTGTCAGATGCAAGCTTAGCAACTTTCTCAGCTGCTTGTCTTTTTCTTTTTTTCTCCTGCAGCCAGGAACAAGTGGCGGCCCTCAGACCCCCAGATCATCTCAGAAGGCCTGTACGCCATCGCTGTGGTGCTGAGTTTCTCTCGCATTGCTTATATCCTGCCGGCCAATGAGAGCTTTGGCCCGCTGCAGATCTCTTTGGGGCGCACGGTCAAAGATATCTTCAAGTTCATGGTGATCTTCATCATGGTGTTCGTGGCCTTCATGATCGGCATGTTCAACCTGTACTCGTACTACCTGGGAGCAAAGTACAATCCTGCTTTCACCACGTGAGTAATGCCTGACGGCAAGAGTGTTTTTTTTGTTTGTTTGTTTTTCAGATTTGTGTGAGTAGATGGTGGTTATGGCTTAACATCTGTTGGGTAAGGTCTAATAGGTAAATACAATTGATTTATGCAGCACTTGGAAAAATCAAGGTCACAAAGTGCTTCACACGGGTAAAACTGTTTAAATAAGACCGTAAAACAGTCAAATGAAAGCAAGCAATTTATCACAAATAAAAACCAGACCATAAAAAGACGCACATTTATAAACACTACACAGCAGGAGGCAGGATTGAATCAATTAGTTTTCAGGTGCTTTTGAAAGTAGTCAACAGAGACTGAAGTTAAAATAACTTTCTGTGTTTTGTCATATAATGTACTTCTAGATTTTCACATTTGCATGTTTGCACAAACCAGTTGTAGCTTTGATAGTGTACTGAGTGTCGACAGTAAACAGAAAAATAACTCAGGTCAGAAGTATCTGATTTGGGTCCCATGGGGCTGTAATTGCTAAACAAAACCATTAAACATGTAAATCCTGAGGATAATCAGAATTGGCACATGTCCTCTTTGATGAGGCTGTTTGCTGGGTTCATTAAATCCTCCATGCTATATCAGTGGCAGAGATCGAACTGTAATCTTCCCTCTGGCCTAATAACAGCAATCAAGGCTGTATGCTTGTATCTAATTGGAGAATGGTAAATGGGTTGGACCTTTATGTAACTTTAACAAACACTGTAGGATTATAGTTTTATCTCAGAGCTTTAACAAAGTTATAGTTAGAAAAGTGAAAGTTCTTCACATTTTAAGAAATCATGGCTTTGTACAGCGATCCTCCCTCCTGTCCCCTGTGTCACTGGTTTTAAAAACACAAAGTGAACATTTGTGGCAGGTGGCAGTGAGAGATACCAATGACAGCTTCAGTCTGAACCCTGGGCAAACACATCTATAGTTTTAACATTTAAATGCCTCCTGTTTCATGAAAACAACTTTGATTTGACATGCAGTTAAGGATGAAGCGAAACATCTTGGGCCTATTGATTTTTAAATCAATAGATCAATGTGGATGTGAAAGTATACTGAGAGCATGGGAGCTTTGGGAGATTTTTTGACAGTATCTCAGAGGTTTTTGATGCCAGGCTAAACTATGTAGTTAAGTTTCTCTGAGGCAAAAGAGCTTTCCCCGTCATTGTATAACGTGTCAGGCTGCAGTCTGTGAATTGAATCGACCAACTGTGCTCTGAAGTAGAATTTAGCATAAAAAAACAGTGTTTGAAATTGATGCTATGAAGACCGTTTTACAAAAAATCTGCTATTTGGGTGTAACTGCAACTCACTTGTATGCTTTTTCATTCTGTACTTAACATGAGTCCACAGTGAACCATTTATAATGAGTAGTTTCACACATTGAGAGCTATTTTGTGTTCTAAATCACAGACAAAGATTTCAGTGATGTTTGGGCCGTTATTTCTAGCTTTTGCTAGCGCTTGGTCACAGCTGCAAATAACAGTGGGAATATAAGGCACCGCTGCTTAGTCCCTCTCCCCAAGAGCAAGAAGAAAGAGGATTGGCCATTGATCCGTACAGCAGCATTTGTTTTGTTATACAACAACCTAACCCATCTGCAGAATGTGTCTCCAAGCCCAAAACAGCTTCACAATTTGGCCATTCGACTCAGTCGAAGGCTTTTTCTTCATCTAAACTTATCTTTGTAATGTCCATGTTTTTCTGATGTGATAGCTGAATCACATTTACAACCTCCTCTTATTGGTGCAGTAGTTCCTTCCAATAATAAATCCATTCTGATCTTATTTTTAGAATGAAGGGGAGAACCTTCTCAAGATGTAGAGCTAGGATTTTAGAATCTCTCAGCAAGTCTGTTTATCATCATTCATCAAAAAACAAAAACCCTCACTGAAGTGTCTCTATGTCAGATATCGTTCTTCATTTTCTCAGAGGAAGACATCTACAGATTTAAATTGATAACCTGACACGATCTAATAGAGCCAAGTGTGCTTTACAAGTCTGGCTGTAATTAGACTGTCAAACACTGTTCTTCACTTTTTATTAAGTAGAAAGGAAAAGTCTGTGTATGGAAGTTTTTACATCTGGTAGGTTTAGGTTCAGATGTGCATTTACTATTTTCAAGACAGCCAAAAATAGAGAAGGCACAAAGTAACTCTGACTCATGGAAGGTTTGGAAATCAGTCACCTCACAGGTTTACAGGTTTTCATATCAGTGAAGAGCACATTAAAAAAATAGCTCAAAAGTGTGACTTGATTTTTTGCCCTCAGCTTTGTATTCGCAGCCATGATATACTGCTGCCAAATGTCAGCACTGTTCTCTCCTCATGACCTTGTGCTGCAAGCTTGTTTGCTGTTACTTGTGCAAAGTACTCCTAGAATTCTTATTTAGGATTATGTTCTGGTCCAGTTATTTCCCTCACTGTGTCAAGTGTTTCAAGTGTCTCCTCCAAGATAAAAAACCTAATTAAAGAGCCTGGGTGCATTGCCATTGTTTCCAGCTGTTCTTGCTGCCCTAGGGAATTTGGTTTCCTGGCAGACTTTATGTCAGATTTCTTTTCTGAGCCTGTACATTTGTAGTGTTAGGCAAATGTTCATACATCTGCTGATATCGGATCTATACTGTACATCTAATGGTTACAGCCTAATATCTCTCAGCCTCATCACACATGTTCAATGTCTCAAAAAGTCAGATGTTATTGTGTATCACAAACCTATACTGCATCCATAAAATAGTAAATTTAGTCAACATTTGATGCATTAACATCAAATCAGTCCCGAGGAAAGTTATAAGCTGGGCATTTGATTTGTAAGGGCGGGTCCAGACAACCAAAGTCATTTTCATTTCAGCCTTATATGCAACTACAGATTCACATTGAATATTTCAATATGTATATTAATAAAACACTGCAATGTGTATTCTTATTTACTGTCTACTGTAAACAAACGGTCAAAATGAATGAATAATGACAGCGTTAAGACACATCTGCACCCCGCAGCTGCACTCGCCTATTATTCACCAGATTGGCAAAGTGACCTTTGCACAAACCATTTCGTCTTGCAACACCAATAAACTTTACAGTTCACTAGGCGACCCTTGTATTAGGCAACCGTTCCTTGTTAGTGAATAACTTTTTTATATCCATTTACAAAACAAATCTGTGCTAATCTGAAACAAAGCTAGGCTGGTGCTGGCTGCGGAGAAGCCCCCCCGGCTCAATTGGAAAAAAAAATACTCAAAACTCTCAAGAGGATGACGTCATATTCAAAACCATCCTAGTGGATTACCAGCAGAGGGTGGACTTCGACCATGTTTTCAGAAATGAAATTCTTTCTTTCAGACATTCATCCCGAAAAAACCCACAATATTCCATACACTAATGTTTCAAGGCAGCTATAGATGCGAACCAAATGAAAAAAGGTATATAATAACGATAATGGTCATGTTAAGTAATTTCTCATGGGAGGGCCAAACTCTTGATGGGCAGTCCCACGGGGCCCGCAGCATCTGATGATCATTCTGCAGCATCAGATGGTGTTGAAAAACACACCAGATGTTTGACCACCTGTATCCTCACATGATCCCATCACCTTTGAGTATGTGAAGCCAGGGAGCAAATCATGTATTCATGACCTGTTGGACATCCACCTGACATAGATTCACTAGTAATAAAAGGTGTGTGATGAGAATCCAGTGTCAGGGGCCTTACTTTCCAGACTGTCTCTACCTTCTCCTGTTCCCCAGCTCAGGGGTCTTAGAGGCCGTGAGTTCTACTTGGCTGCCCACATGGAGCTGAAGATCCAGACAACGTGATGAGCAGACAGACTTAGAGGGAGTTCACTGACAGAAAGGCTGACAGACAGGTAGTAAAAGAGTCTGATTGAGCTGAAATGGATGGTCAGATAGATTGCGGTCACAACCCGAAAGTCAGACATAAAGAGGACTTTTCAAAAAGCAAAGGACAAGTACAGAAAGAACTTGTGCCGAGCAGATGAAGGTGCCTTATCATCATCATCATGAGACACTCATTTTTCAGCCTGAGTGTACAGATCAGCTTTGTACTTCTTTCCTTTTCCACATCTGATCTCTACTTTAGAGATCGCCATCAAGGCTGATTTTGAAAGTGAGCGTTACCACAGCCGTGTTAAAAATAGAAACTGCTTTGCTCAACTTAACAACCTCTGACTGAATGTCATGTAAGAGAAGTTTTTGGGTGTTTTGACAGAAAAATGTCCCTGCATGTCTGCTTTTTAATGAGCCACGCTGGTGTTCCTCTGACAGTTTCTTAAATTGCTTTCCCAGTGGGAGCTGCTGCATGGAGATGCTTTTAGCATGACAGAGCCTCCTGAAATATGATGTTGTTGTCAATCTCACCACTAGGGGTCAGTGTGGCTTTAAGTCTAAACCTGTCTGTGACGCGGTTGTCAGCAAATTTATATATATATATATATATGGATATATATACATTTAAAAAAAAAACTTTTATTCAATTTTCATACATTTTTGATAGAATTGTCAGGCTTTTTTTTACCGGCTTCTTTATGTCAGTGCTTGTTTAGTAACTCAGCGAAAAGGTGGAACTGTAATATGTTTTCTTGACTATGACAAAACGTGAATATAACTGTCACCAAGCAGACAGCATGCCTGTATGGATGTAAGTGTGTGTGTGTGTGCTTGTGCTCAGTTTTGTGTGTCTGTGTGTGTGGGCAGTGACTTTGTGACAGGCTATGTTTGATGGAGGGCAGGGGAAAAGGCTGTTCTGATAGCTCTGATGCAGGAAGATGAGGAGGGAGCCAGGTGGAAGGAGTAATGATGCCCCAGGAGGGGCCACTCGGGCTCCAAGGCTGGAAGCGAGGGATGTGAGGAGAAGACAGGGAGGGGTGTGGCTGAGGAGTGAGGCTATCCACACACTAACAGAAGCTCAAACTCAGACACATGTAAACGTAAATGCACAGCTGGATAGGGCTTAATGAATACTGAG